CGTTTTCTAGTAGAAGTTGGTGCCTATGAAACTATTCTGTACCCCTAAAAGGACAAAAATTCCCTTTGACCAACTAATATTCTTACGCCTAGTAGGATCTCTGCGTTTATTTGCTTAATGAATGAAAGATGACTGGTTCAAGTCTATATTTTGAAGGAATGTTTTTTCACTTTAGTCTTGACAATAGGTAGACATGTTTATTCATCTGTATAAATATCTAATAAAGGCTTATTCTGTCGCAGGCAGTGTGCTTTGCGTATTCTAGTGTGCTTAGAATGGGTGGCTGATCTGGGAGCCAGTGAACAGTGGTAGCAGATATGTCATGTCATGTGAGGGTGCTGTGGGAACCCTTAGTAATAACTTTCTGGAGAAAGTGACATCACAATCTTGGTAGAGGGAATAGAAGTTCAGAGGCCTGAAACTGCAAGAGTGTTCAGTGAGGAACTGAAAGGTCGATGTATCTGCAGTTGTGAGTGCATGTGGAAGGGCGGAGGTCAAGGAGAGGAGCAGCCACCAGGTGGCTATAGGTGGATGTCCAAACTGGGACACTTTTGACAGTGAAATAAAGAACTATTAGTAATTATTTGGAGCAACAGATAAATTGAGGCTGTCCTAGGAAAGTTAGAATGGTTCCTACTGCTTATAAGCCATGTTAAGAGGTTTGGGTTTATTCCAGGGGCACATGGTGGTTGTATCTTTGTGGCATTCTAGAGACTAGATTATAAAGTTTGGGGTTATGTTTTCTGATCCTTATCTTTCAGAAAAGATTGTGAAAAGTCAATTAAGTTTCTGTGCCCTTGTGGTCAAATGGGCTTGGTAGAATGCCTGCACTTCAGATGGGTGCTTCTGTCATCACATGGAGGAGCAAAACCTAGATAACATTTTGAGTGAGTGTGTGTGTGTGTGTGTGTGTGTGTGTGTGTGTTTTACAATTTTATGTTTCCATAATGATGTATTTTGGATAGCTAGCATGTTGCCTTTTCACATTAAAGGGAAATGGGATTTAGGATTAGATTAGTGGTTGTAGATGTAGGTTAGACAGAATTTATCTCAAAACTAGTGGAATTTTAATCTTAGTGATTCTTTTTTCCCTACAAATATTTAACAGGGAGCTGACTTACATCTATTGGAATATTGCCTGAAGCAAATAACACTCGTATAGTGCATAGTATGTACTGGGCACAATTCTAGGAACATTTAACCCTTATAATAACACTAGTAGTGTTATTGTCATTTTACAGACGAGAAAACCAAGGCCCTGAATGCTAACTGTCTTCCCCAGGGTCATACAGCCAGTCCACAATGGAGCCTGGGATTGAACCCCCAGACCTCCCGGCTTTGGAGTCTGAACGTAACCATTTGGCTTTACTACTCTCACATGTCAGCATGTTATTAGTAGTGTCAGGCATAGAGAGAAGTTTGGGAGTATGCTTGTATTAGATTTAGGTAAATGTTTTCACAATGATTTTTATGTTTTACAGCCTTCAAAAGTATGTTCGGGAACAGATTCTACTAGCAGTAGCAGTAATTGTAAAAAGAGGATCATTAGATAAATCAATAGACTGCAAAAGCATTTTTCATGAAGTCAGCCAGTTGATAAGTAGTGGCAATCCCACTGTGGTAAGTGTGCTATTTGTATTTATAAATATTAACAATTTAGATTTTCTGTTACACAAATACCATTATAGCAAGAGTAATGGATATTTATCTAAAAGAAAAAGTGAAAAAGCTATTAGTCAAGCAGTTTTCATTTGTTCAGGTTTTCTTCTAGTCTTTTTTAATATATGTACATAATATAGATGTGGTATACTTTGCTTTTTCATTTGCTTTTGTATTTTCCATGTTTCCATAAATATTGATAATCATTATTTTAATTGTTATAAGATATTATAATTTAATATGCCATAATATTCTATATACCAAATATAATATGCCAAATATTATAAGCTTTGTTCATGAGATGCTGATGCTTCAGCAATGCCTACATGAGTTACATAATGGTAATCTTGTCATTTCTGTGAATTTTGTTAGAATTTGCTTCCAAACTAATGGCCATGTGCATTATCCAATGGTGGTCATCATCAATAGTCTGGGGAAAAAGAAGTGGTGGATATACATAGCTAAATCTAGGAGAGAAAAGGCTTGCAACTGAGGCTGCAACTTGGAAATATTATCCTTGTCCCTAATGCTCTGAATCAAGTTGCACTTCATACTTTAGATTTCACTTAAGAACATCTTGTTTCATTTTAATGGTCTGCAGTGAGTCCAGCTCATTGTGATAGACAGGATTTAAACTTGAGGAACATTATGAGTAACTTTGAGATCTATCTATTTATGATTAATACCTTTCCCTTGTTAGTCTGGTGATCATTCCAGCCCGGATTTTGGTATTGGGGTAGAATTTCTGCAGCCTGCCCTACGAGTAGCTTGTTGATACTGGGATGGTGCAGGCAAAGGATCAAGAGTCCCTTGCCTCTCTCAGGAATGAGTACATACTAGGGAATTGAGTTCTCTGCTTCCTTTACCCTTGGTTAGTTTGACTCAACACAAAAATCAGTCCCACTGCAACCTGACAATTGGATTTTTTTGAGCCACTGAAATAACTGATCTTCTGAGAATGATTGGAACAGATGTCGCTGTTGTTCACTTAGAGAAGATTTTGCTCTCTTCATAGTGTGTACATTTTGAGAATAGAGATAAATGTAATATTCTCATGAGAGACTGCAAAGTTTTTTTTTTTAAGTCAAATTTCTTTCTTTCTGTGTTGTTTTGTTTTGTTTTTGAGACTGGGTCTCACTCTATTGCCTAGGCTGGAGTGCAGTGGCGCAGTCTTGGCTTACTGCAGCCTTGACCTCCCCGTGCTCAAGTGGTTCTCCCACGTCAGCCTCTTGAGTAGCTGGGACTGCAGGTGCACCACCACACTGAGCTGATTTTTTCGAATTTTTGTAGAGACAGAGTTTTGCTATGTTGCCCAGGCTGGTCTCCAACTCCCAGGCTCAAGAAATCTACCCGCCTTTGCCTCCCAAAGATTATAGGTTTGAGCCATTACGCCTGGCTAAAAGTCAAATTTCTAATACCAGGGCTGAGAACTACTATAGCAGTAGGAAATCAGTAGTGGGAAATAGAATGTAATTTCAGAATTGCGGGGTGAATTTATCTTGGTGACTACATTAAAAACATTAAATGTGAAAAAATATTGTCTACTTTATGAGGCAGGTTAGATGCATACACTGCCCCTGCTTGTCCTTGCCCAGTAGCTTGAAACTAGCTCATTAGGAAGGCCTAAAAAATGAGGTTAAGACATTTTCATATATCTTCCTCTCTACTTGGACTATTAAGAATTTGTAAATGGGGCTGGGTGCAGTGGCTCACGCCTGTTATCTCAGCACTTTGGGAGACCCACGTGTATGGATCATGAGGTCAGGAGATCAAAACCATCCTAATATGGTGAAATGCTGTCTCTACTAAAAATACAACAAGTTAGCTGGGCATGGTGGCACATGCCTGTAATCCCAGCTACTCGCAAGGCTGAGGCAGGAGAATTGCTTGAATCTGGGGGGTGGAGGTTGCAGTGAGCCGAGATCTTGCCACTGAAATCCAGCCTGGGCCACAGAGTGAGACTCTGTCTTTAAAAAAAAAAAAAATTATAAGTGCTTCAAGAATTTACTTAAGATTTTCTTAGTCTCAGACATAAATGGCAGTGAACAAGAGGATTAAAACCTCTGTAAGAAAGGAGAATGATAAATGATCAGAACATTGATTTAGTACTGGCTAGAAACTTTCTTTATAAAGGTGATTTGTAAGAGAGATTTGAAAAGTAGAGAAAATTAAAGGTTTTCTGTAGATGAAGAAAGGGTTGACTTTGTGAACTGTTAAATTAGGTAACTAATTTTTCCTTCATACCTCTTCTAGAAAGACATTTCCATCCACCCTCATTGGCCAAAAACTGTCTGTATGTAATCTGGCTTTTCCCCCTTCGTTTTCAAAGAGTATTGGTTTCATTTGCTTGTTTTGTAGTTTTAGAAACAGAATCTCACTCTATTGCCCAGGCTGAAGTGCAGTAACATGTTCATACCTCACTGCCACCTTGATCACCTGGGCTCAAGTGATCCTCCCACCTCAACTTCCTGAGTAGCTGGGACTGTAGTTGCATGCCACTGTACCTGGCTAATTAAAAAAAAATTTTTGTAAAGGTGGGGTCTCACTGTGTTGCCCAGGCTGTCTTAAGCTCCTGACCTCAAGGTGATCCTCCAGTCTCAGCCTCCCAAAGTGTTGGGATTATAGGTGTGAGCCACCACGCCTAGCCAAGAATTGATTTTTGATGGTCCATTTCCTTGTACTAGTCTTATATTTGCATTTATACAGGTTTAGGGGCAGTGTAGTATAATAGAATAATGATTTTGGATTCACCCTTGGGTTTAAATCCCAGCCCTGCCATTTATTGCCAACTTAATTTAAATTAACTTCTCTAGGCATTAGTTCACTAAGATGTAAAATAAATGTGGTAATATTCACTTCTATTCAGCAAGAATTTGTGCTGTCTCCCTAGTAGCCTCTCACTGCTTTCTTCATAGAATCTTGGGAAGTGAACTGTAGTAAATCATCTCTTTTTCTATCAAACAACATTTTAGGGAGGGAAAAGCAGAAGAAAATGTTTATCTGTGAGTGAAAACCAATCATTTGTGTGTGTGTGTGTGTGTGTTTTTCTTTCTTTTTTTTTTTTTTTTTGAGACAGAGTCTTGCTCTGCCGCCCAGGCTGGAGTACATTGGCACCATCTCAGCTTAGGGGTTCAAGCAATTAACTTGCCTCAGTCACCTGAATAGCTGGGACTACAGGCGCATGCTACCATGCCAGCTAATTTTCATATTTTTAGTAGAGACGGGGTTTCGCCATGTTGGCCAGGCTGGTTTTGAACTCCTGGCCTCAAGTGATTGGCTCACTTCAGCTTCCCAAAGTGCTGGGATTACAGGCATGAGCCACCACACTCAGCCAATGCATATTTATTTAAAAAAAATATAGGTAACGGATACCTTAGGTTTTCTTTAAATGCTTTCAGAAGTATCTTATAGACTTGGTTCTCTACAGTTAGTTTTATGGAAGGATTATATCTAATTTGTATTTTAAAAATGATGTATTCTTAGTTAATTCATGCTCATATGATCATTAAATAATATGTTACTTCGTGCCTGTGGGCAATTACGATGTTTTCCTTCCATGATTATAAAGGTTACCGTGGCTATTTCATCTCAGTTTGCAGTAGAGTCGGACCTGCTGTTAATAGTAATTGGGGAGGGGTATGGAAACTTGCCTTCCTAGAAAAGTAGCAAATTTTTTTATTTTAAGCTAAAATTTTAAATAGTTCATATTTGCCTTATTTCCTTTGAAAGCGGCAGGCATACATTAAATCACTTTTAAAGCTGTTTAATATAGCATTTAAGTCTCCTTTCTTCCTCTTTGCCATGCTAGAGAGAAGTGGGTGAGAAATTCACTTGTCTATGGCAGTCCCTGGATGTGATAGCCAAGTTAATCTCTCTTATCATAAGTCTCATTGATGTTTGCATAGAAGAGCAGCTGGAAGTCTGCTTTATGTATGGCAACCTTTCATAAAGTTTATTCTTGGTAATAAGGCTCCTGGGGTAAGAGCCAGGCTATTATAAGAGACAATCCTCTCTCTGAACAAGAGTATTTTATTTTGTCAGCTGGAGTTAGTGTTTGAGTATCTTGGGCTTGTGACAGTAAGCTGGTGAGTAAGGCAAGCTATCTTTGAAGGGCATTTTTTCACTAGCTTGAAATTAATGGCTTTTGCTAGAAATAAATGAGAATGCTGCTGTAAGACTTTCAATGTGAAGATAAGGGTTACTTAAATTGTTACCCATGAATTGTGAATTTTCAGTACTTCAATGAAAGAAGACAATTAGATTTTTTTTTAATAACCTTGAGACTTCATTGTATGTCTTCTACTTCTTTGACATATTAAAATTTTCTTGTAGAAATTTATAAACAACCAAAAAATAGGGAACACATCGTTTATTTTCCGACTTCTGTTGTGTTAACATAGTGCTGGGTGTAGAAGTAAACTTCGATTTGTTAATTCAAACAGCATTTATTGAACATCTACTACATTGCTTTAATGATACAGCTTCAGTTATAGCTCTCTTTCTTAAGTGGTGCAACACATTTAGTAATTTTAATTTTGCAGAATGTGCATCATTAAGGAATAGAATAAAAAAAGCTGAAATAGGTGGTTGTTATTTTTTATGATAATGATAAAAAATACTGCTGCCACTTTACCTTTTTGTAACCTGGTGTAATTACATAGTATTTTTAAGCATTATCCAATTTGAGCCTTAGGACACTCATGCAAATTACGCCGGGCAGAGGGTGGTACCCCTTATAGATTAGAAGCTGAAGTCAAGGTATATGAAGGGCTCTGACCACAGTTATTTGAAGAAGGAAATCTTGGACTGTTAGAGCCCAGATTTTCTAGTTGATTCAAACAACAGGATCCTTGTATTGGACTCCTGAAAGAGTCCTGCAGAGTGTTTTTATTTATAGTTTATTTTAGATGTAATTTTAATAAATTTTATTTGGTTTCTAACTGGTGGGCAAATGAAAATGATCAACTTAGAACTACCCGTTAGTGGTAGTCAAATTGCCAGCAGCAGTGAGTGGTAGACAACAACAAAGGGTGATTGAGAAAAGCTGTGAAGCAGACATCAGTCAACTAGCACTGGGGTCTGGCACCACGTTGCCAGCAGGTGGAAGGCCCTGATGTTGTCGTAGCTTCCAAGTAGTCACTTTACTATAATATCATATAATAATTGTCATATAAAGAATTCTTTAAGAAAAATGGATAAGAAGTAAGTTTCATTAAAAATGTTTGCTTGCTGCATTTATAAAATTATCAGATATTAGATTAATTCTTTATGATCTTAGATAAGTGAAGCATTGTTGTATTAACCTCTTGGAAATCTAAGATTTGTACTAGTGGTGTTTTATACTGGGCAAATTCCTGTGAATTTTAGTATGGCAGTCTTATACTTTCATCAATCAGATAGTCAACTTCGATCTGATTTCACTGACATTCATTACAACAGCTTTTGTTTCTGGCTGTCTTAAGTATCAGAGCCACTGTCTCTGATATGGAAAAATATCTAGCTCTGACTTTGACAAAGGCCAGAGAGGCAGCACTTGAAGGTACTGGTCAGTAGAGGGTGAATTAGTGGATAGTGCCCTTGGGATGCTCGTTGAGACCTGACAATCTGAAGGAGGCAGATAAGAACATTCTTCAAGGGTAAGAAAAGCTAAAGCTGGTGATCTCCCATAGGCAGATTTGATGCTTTAATTTTTTTCTTTCTGCTCTCTGTCCTGGGAAGAAGCTGTCCTCTGTTCTCCCTTGGGAGTTTTATTTTTGGCTTGCTTCCCTAGCTGTCTTCATTACAACACAATGTGAGAGTAACTTCATTTTAAGGGGATTTAATCCATAATTAAATATTGAAAATGAGCAAACATATTTAGAAATGAGTCCTAGACATTTAGTAATATATTTAATTCCCCTGTGAATAGGGAGAAATACTTTGTTGATATATGTTGAAGTACTTTGCTCTCTTAAATGTACAATCAGTGTTTAATTATTCATCATTCTCCAGGAGTCTCTATTCATTTGGCACCTTTGAGCCAGACCAGCGTAGTATGATTAATATTTATGATGGTAATCTTATATTCCTACAGGATTTCCAAATTAAGGAGAGCTTAAACTATTTGGTATCTTTTCATGATAAAAATATCCTATTGAATTTTAGTTCTTTGAAAGCTGATAATTGTAGGTACAGTTAAAGCTAGAATATTTGATTTCTTGGAATACTTCTGACAATGCTGTATGATAATTTATTTTTATGTATTTCTTAAGTCTTTAAGTGGTATATTTAAATAGAACACGCTTGTTTTAAAAATTTTTTTATTTCATAGGTACGAAGTGGAAGAGTAGAATGTAAAACTATATGTGGGTTGATAGCAATGGTATATAAAAATTTATATCTGTGCATTAAAAAAATTGGAAAACTATAAATGTTACAGTAATAACTCCTATATGGTAGGATTGTAGACAATTTTATGTTCTTTATGCTTTTCAGTAATTTCTAGTTTTTCTAAGATAGAGGTATATTTTTGTAGGATGAAAAAATTATTTAAAAGCAAAAGATTCTTACATGTTCAGGGAACTAAGTCTATATAGTGCATTTTGTTCTAAATTCTCGTCGGTTAAGAATGTACTTGTTTTTATGGGTGAATTTATATTTCATTAGTATGGACGTTTGCTATTTTGGAGGGAAATATTTATTGCTACAACTTAAAGCAGTTCCATGCGTTGTTTTGTGTGAAGATTGTAGTTGCAGGAGTAGCTTTCGCAGGGCTTTCACCTGTCATTGCCCTGCCCCTCTCCTTCACTATTTGTTTCTTATCTTGACCGTAAACACATCTACGTTATCCTGTAAACACATCTAGGTTATCCTGGGAAATGTTTATTTCAGGTGAAAAAGTAAAACTTTATTTTGAGTACATATGATTGTAATCATTAATTAGAGAGATATTCCTGAAAACTTGAATATGGTGATAGTTTTAAAATAAGCCATTTTGTGGTGAATGCAGTAAAAAACATTCTGTGGAAAATTGTAAATTACTTGTGAAACATTATTCTTTGAATAAGGATTTGTGTTTAATGAGTGCTTCTAGGTTCTTTCAGCTTGTAGGTTTTTATACGTTATGTGTGAATTCTGTTTTCAATAGGTTATTTCATCTGAGATTTTGAAATTAATTTCCTGTTTTAGTAAGACAAGTTTTCTCAAACATTTAGCTGTGTTTATAAGTGTTTTATTGAATGAAATCTTAGAAAGGATAAGTGAAAAGCTAAGTCTAAATGAAAAATTATTTTCAGGATCCTAGGATCTTGGGGTTCATCGTTAGATCATTGTGAGTTAGCTTTTTTCCCTGAATCTCATTAATTTGATTTAACATCTACTTTCCCCCCCAAAGCCTAGCTGTGTTTAAAAATCATGTTTATAGTGGAATCCTGATGTTATTTAAATGTATCTGTCTAGTGTTAATTGCTGGCACTGTAATCATTAATCATTAAAAAAATTTTTTTTGAAAATTAATGATTTTGTTAACTGAAAATGAAGGGATTGTACTTTCTGAATTTCTGAGGTCTTTAAACAGTAAAATGACAGGAATATGTGATCAACTCTTTTTTTTGTGAGAGGCCTTAGTGCCTGGGTTTTTTTTCTCTCCAAGTGCCTGGGGCCATAGATTTTGGGAGGTTTTGAAGATTTCAGGAGGTTTTGAAGATTTCGGGGGGAAGGAACATTTTTATATTAAGTCATATATTTTGAAGTAAAATTACAAAATGTGTGTGTTTATGCCAAACCAGTAGCATTCGGAGAACTTTTATTGTTGCAGAAGGGATCTTTGATCATACCCCTAGATTCCCTAGAGAATTTGCATTTCCAAGTGTGGAAAAATCTGAGAAACTTCTTTAATGTTAGGGTTTTGTGCCTTTCATAAATATTAGCTATATAGTCATGCTTGTTTTAGTTGAGATTAAGAGGTGAGTAAAAATTTAATTTTATGTTTACTTTTTTTTTTTCTTGAGATGGAGTCTCACTCTGTTACCCAGGCTGGAGTGCAGTGGCATGATCTTGGCTGACTGCAACCTCCACCTCCTGGGTTCGAGCAATTCTCCTGCCTCTGCCTCCCAAGTAGCTGAGGCTACAGGTGCCCGCCACCATGCCCAGCTGATTATTTTTTTTTTGTATTTTTAGTAGAGACAGGGTTTTACCATGTTGCTCAGGCTGGTCTCGAACTTCTGACCTCTGGTGATCGCCTGCCTCAGCCTCCCAAAGTGTTGGGATTACAGGCCACTGCACCCAGCCTATATTTACATTTTTTAAGGGAACATTGTAGACATATACAAAATGGACAAATAGTCTGTTAGTCACTCATGGAGTCATCACTCACCTTCAACGTATTTCATGCCAATTTTTAGGAATTTAATATCATTAAATTATTCACTAAGATTTGCCACCATAAGTGCCTGTAAGGTCAAGGTACTGACATCAGAAGCATTTCTGAACAAAGATGTTGCAGTTGGTGGGTGGATATGACTGTGTTCAGCTGTTGGATAAGCTTGCATAAATAGTATCATCTTGACTTTAATCTTTCGGTTGTTCAGAGGTAGTGTGCATATTTCTGTTTAACTCCTGGAAAGTTGCCAAAATAATTTGTATCCTCTTTCCGTCCTTGGTACCTTGCCTCTAAATAATCTGGGAATAAAATCAATGAGTTGATATTAGGAGCCTGTTGGATAGAACCAATGAGAAGGAAAATCTTCATTTTTTTATTTAAAAACTTTTGGGTATTACCTGGCTGTAATATTTTGGACACTATAAAATCTGTTTCACTTTTCATCTATTTGGGAATGCATTTTACAAACAGAACAGGGAGTCAAACAAATGTGTTCAAATCTCAGCTGGCCTTAGGTAAGTACTCACTCTCTCCGACTCGGTTCTGTAAATTCAACAAAATAATGCCTTCAACATTGATTATTTTGAAATATTGTTTGAATTCCACTATTGAGTAGGAACAGTGTATCCTGAGTTCAAATCTTAACTGCAGTTGAGGAGGTACTTTAACACTTACCAGACGACTTAGAAAGGAGAGCTAATATTTATTTTGTCATATCTAATTTTTTAACTGGTTGTTATAAGATCCAAAGATATAGTGGAAGATCTAAAGATAGGGAGAAAATGTTCCGTTATGTTCCATTGTGTTCAAATGCATTTCAAAGCATTGAAAAAGTAATGCCTCACAATTATTTCTTATCAAATAATTACAGCAAACTCTGGCCTGTTCTATTCTGACTGCACTATTGAGTGAATTTTCAAGTTCAAGCAAAACTAGCAACATTGGATTGAGCATGGAATTCCATGGTAACTGCAAAAGAGTTTTTCAGGTATTGGCATTTTTCTTCTTGCATTTTAATTATCGGATCATTCACTTTTTATTCAATGTATTCCTAATGACGTGAGAGTATTTATTTTATGTAGTTGAATGATAGCCTGTACTTCAGGATTTGTTTTGTGATTTCAAAGGATATAGTAAAGTGATAGGTTTGATGAATGTAGTTGATGGTTTAAAATTACTTGTTTAATTCTTGTCTTAGAAACAATACTTCTATAAAGATCTTTAGTTTATTATTTAGTTCTTATTGTGTTTAGATATAACTAATTCAATTGATGGGACTCTGCTGGCCTTAAAAATAGGTCTGGAGGAATGCCAGAAGGCCATGTATTTCAAATGTTATTGCAGATGGTGCGGGCTCTTTGTCTCGTATGTATTGTTTGGCTCTGGAGTAAAGTTATGTGAAGGCATTGGCTTAAATCCTAGGGCTCTGCACTATAGCAACTGACTCCTCCAGCTCTGCAGTAGTCGTCAAAGACTCTCTTTTCTATGGAAGTAACGTTTATATTCGAGTAAATATATTACAGCTGGCGTCACTTGAAAGCATACTGTGATGTAAATTACAAGTAGAGTCCTAAAAATGGAAAATATTCTTAAGGAAATAGTGCTTTCCATTGGAAATGTTAAGGTTTTTGTTTGTTTTGTTTCCTGGTTCTAAAAGGGAATACATTTCTAATAAATTTTGCATATAAAATATTTGTGATTTATTGACTATAGGAAGAAGACCTTCGTCAGATCTTCATGTTAACTGTTGAAGTTCTGCAGGAGTTCAGCAGGCGGGAAAACCTCAATGCTCAGATGTCTTCAGTATTTCAGCGTTACCTTGCACTCGCCAATCAAGTCTTGAGCTGGAACTTTCTTCCTCCAAATTATATCCTTTTAACAAATGAACAGTTTATCTGTGCTAATTTTTCATAGGTGACTTAACTATGGCTTAGAGTCTTTCACCTCTGCAGCTTTTATAAAACACGTTGAAAGAAAAGATTTTTTTTAAGAAATAGAATTTAATTTCTTTATCTTATAATACCATAAGACAGTGGATACTACGATAATACTAGAAGATTTAAAAGTTTATTTACTCCTTTGTAGAAGAAGTTTGAATACATAGAAACGTGTGGTGGATGATGGAGCTATTGCTAATTTAGGATTAGTAGTATTTTTTGGGAAGGAAAATGAAACGGGTACAAGGTACCTTTTAAGAAACTGTGAATCATTTTTTCCTTGGACACGTAACTATGTTTGATTTTTTTTGACTGACTTAAAGCTAGTTTGGAGTGCTCTAATTTAATCTTTATGAATGGTGATGTTCAAGTGTAGATAATAATTTAGTAATATGTTTATTCTTCAAGGGCCTTTACCAATATAAAAAAATGAGAATTTTGCTTTTAGGAAATTATTTGCTAGTAATACGAAAAATGTTTAAGTGGGTTATATTAACAGTGCATATATCTGCTTTTTAAGTTAGTTACTAAAGTAGAGAAATTTGTATTTCATAAACTTTAAGGAACTGCTTACTGATTTACTATTCTAGAACATCTCTGCCTGTTGATAATAATATACAGTGGCTACCCATTTGTTGTATAAAGTCTGAAAGATCTGGATTTAAGCCTCTGCTGAGATCTTAGGCAAATCACCTGAACCTCTCTGTGTCTCAGCTTTTCCAAATGTAAAATGTCGGTATGGATTGTTGTGTGAATTAAATGAAACAATACATTTAAAACACTCAGGAGATAGCTACTATTATTGAGTTCTTAATAGCCTCCTTGAATTAAATAGTTCATTATAAAACTAGCTGTCTGTTATACTCTTCTTTGTTGATCCAGTATGCCTCTGTGTGGTATAGGACATTTAATGTAACCTGTTCTAGATGCTGTTAATTTGGAAGTCTGCTCAGGAGAAAAAGACCGATGATAAGCAGACAGGAAGTAGATGTGAAATCAGATCAGAGATCTAGGATGAGACTCATCTTTATTCTAACAGAGCCAAGAGGAGCTACATTTACGTACATAGAAATTCACTAATTATTTGTGGCTGGTAAAATTATGACATTTAAAGAAGTGTGGTGAGGTATAACTCCTTCTTCCGTTTCACTTTATTCATGTAATAGAATATTAACTGTGGAATGCTCTGTCAGATAAAGTGAACCTGACTCCTTCAGCCATGAGTTCTCCAGGTTTCTTTCCCAAAGGCAGTCACTGTGATCTACCACGTTATGGGGCAAAGCTTACAGTAAGGTCAGTCACTGTTTCCTTTTATTCTTACTGTGTAATCATCTTTCTCCTAGTGACCGACTTTTTATCTTTAATATATTAGCTTAATTCTTTTTGGCTATCAAGAGGTGCCTACTTGGTTAGGCTTGCTTTTAAAAAAAATTTCCCCTTTGAGTGTTTTAATATTTTTGCTCCATGTTTTTTTGTAAGTTGGTAAGGCATACTTTATTCATGGGAGCCAATGGTGATAGGTGTGGGGATCACCACAACAGGATCTTGCAGTTGGGGAGAGAGATTGGATTCAACTTCTTGCTCCAGTGTTTTCACTTTGTCAGTGGGGGGAAGATATTGAAAAACCTGAGACAGATTTTAAAAGTATCAGGCCATATGGAGCTATCAAAACATTAATTATATGTGTAGGGAAAAATCAACAAAAGCTACACTGCATATATTTTAAAGTGTCTGTTTTAAGGGAAAATACAGTTGGTAGAGAGTGAGTATTTCATAAAAAGAAACAGTTCTCTGTGAGTTTGGAAACAAAGTTTGTCTAAAGGATACACACACACACAATATTTTATGAAGTACTTAGATAAAGCTTTGGAAAACTTGTCATCTGAAAATGATAAGCAATACTGCAGTGTTGCCAAGGAAAGTAATTCCTTGTTTAAGGAAAGTATATCTTGGTTTTTGACTTGAGGATATTTTGCTTCATGGCTTACAAGAGAGTTCTTGTGTGGCCTTTTTGTATAGTGCCATTTGTTGGCTGACTGCACTACAGCTAAGTTTTCTTTGAGTGGATTAGCCTTAAGTGTGGGAGAAAGAACTTGGCAGTGAGATTAAACTAAGCTACAGTTTTAGCACTCATTAGGGAAATCAATTTCAAGGAACTCAATTCTGACTAATTTCTAATTTTGAAAATTACCTGGAGACCTACCATTCAATCAGTAAGGAAAGAATGGAATAATTATGCAGCCTTGTACCATGGAGAGGGTCTAAATAATCAAATTTAACTTAGTTTAACAGTGTTGAATCGATGCCTTTGATGGTTTATTGTCTGCATGCGGTGGCTAACTCTTGTAATCCCAGAACTTTGGGAGGGTGAGGTGGGAGGATTGCTTGAGTCCAGGAGTTCGAGACCAGCATGGGCAACACAGCACAACCCTGTCTCTACAAATATTAGCAGATGTGGTAGTGTGTGCCCGTAGTTCCAGCTATTTGGGAGGTTGAGGTAGGAGGATTGCTTGAGACTGGGAGGTTGAAGCTGCAGTGAGCCATGATCATGCCACTGCACTCACTCTGGGCAACAGAAGAGACCCTGTCTCAAAGTAAAATAAGATTTGTCTCTTAGGATAGGCACATAATAAATCATGGAAAATGTTTGTGTATTATGTGTTAAATATTTTGATAATTTAGAATAGTATCATGTTAAATGAGACTGTGTTAAATTATCAATAATCCCATTCATAATTTTTTATAATCGACGGTTTTTGTATCTTTTTATATTGAGATAATTTTATTTTTATTTGTTTATTTATTCATTCATTCTTGAGACAGAGTCTTGCTTTGTCGCCTAGGCTAGAGTGCAGTAGCACTATCTTGGTTCACTGCAACCTCTGCCTCCTGGGTTCAAGCTGTTCTCATGCCTCAGTCATCCAAGTAGCTGGGATGACTGGCGTGCACCCCACACCCAGCTAATTTTTGTATTTTTAGTAGAGATGGGGTTTTGTCATGTTGACCAGGCTGGTCTTGAACTCCTGACCTCAAGTTGATCCACTCACCTTGGCCTGTAAAAGTGTTGGGATTACAAGTGTGAGCCCCCATGCCTGGCCCTGACTAATTTTTTGGTTTTAGTTTTTGTGGAGGTGGAGTCTTGCTGTGTTGGCCAGGCTGGTCTCGAACTCCTGGCTTCACGTGATTCTCCTCCTTAATCCTCGCAAAGTGTTGGTATTACAGGGGTGAGCCACCATGCCCAGCCTCAATAGTAGCTTTATTCACACACTGTACTATATACTCATTTAGAGTGTACTATCCGGTGTGTTGTAGTGTATTCATAGACTTGTACAATAATCATTGCCAGTAGTTTTAGAACATTTTCATTATCCCCAAAGAAACCCTGTATTCATTAGCAGCTTGTTTCCATTTCCACCTTCTCCGATCCTTAGCAATCATATTCTGTCTATGTAGACGTGTCATATAAGTAGAATCATATAATATGTAGTCTTTTGTGATTGGCATCTTTTTTATTTTATTTTATTTTTTTTGAGTTGGAGTTTCACCACTCTGTTGCCCCAGGTGGAGTGCAGTGGCGCCATCTTGGCTCACTGCAACCTCCATTTCCTGGGTGCAAGCGATTCTCCTGCCTCAGCCTCCTGAGTAGCTGGGACTATAGGCACATAGCACTACGCCCTGCTAGTTTTGTGTTTTTTTTTTTAGTAGAAATGGAGTTTTGGAACGTTGGCCTGGGTGGTCTCTAACTCCTGGCCTCAAGTGATCTGCCTGCCTTGACCTCCCAAAATGCTAGGATTACAGATGTCAGCCACCGCACCCATCCTGGCTTCTTTCACTTAGCATAATGTTTTCAGGATTCATCTGTTTTGTAGCATGCACCATCAGTCATTCTTTATTCCTTTTTATTGCCATTATATTGTATGGATATACCACATTTTTTAATCTGTTTATCAGTTGGCAAACAGTTGGGTTGTTTCCACTTTTTGGCTATTAATAATAATGCTGCTGTGACCATTCATTTATAATTTTTGTGTGGACTTAGGGCTTAATTTCTCTTTGGGGGCCAAGGTGGGAAGATTGCTTGAGGCCAGGAGTTTGAGGCTGCAGTGAGCTGGAATCACACCACTGCACTCCAGCCTGGACAACAGAGCAAGACCAAAATGATTTCTTATAGAAAGTAGTGTATATAATATTGGGAAAAGCAGTTAGAGCTGACTGAGTAATGGATCTAGAATGTGCATAGAGAGATACAAAAGAAAGCAAAGAGTAAATATTTAGATATTTTTTAATATTTAAGGGTATTAATGCTGTTTTAGTTAATAACTTGTATTACAGTGATCTTAGGTCAAGATTTATGCTCAATGTTTCACTAATGAAATCATAACTCGGTCAGCATAGTGGCTCACGCTTGTATCCCAGCACTTTGGGAGGCCAAGGTGCATGGATCGCTTAAGCTCAGGAGTTTGAGACCAGTCTGAGCAACATGGCAGAACCCCATGATATGGTTTGACTCTGTGTCCCCACCCAAATCTCATCTGGAATTGTATTCCCATAATTCCCATGTGCTGTGGGAGGTACCTGGTGGGAGATAATTGAGTCATGAGGGCAGGTTCCCTATACTGTTCTGGTGGCAGTGAACAAGTCTCACAAGATCCGATGGTTTTGTAGGGGTTTCCCCTTTTGCATCTCTCTCATTCTGTCTTTGCCTGCTGCCATCCATGTAAGATGGGATTTGCTCCTCCTTGCCTTCTGCCATGATTGTGAGGCTTCCTTAGCCATGTGGAACTGTAAGTCCAATTAAACCTCTTTTGTAGATTGCCCAGTCTTGGGTATGTCTTTATCAGCAGGCTGAAAACAGACTAATACACCCCATCTCTTACAAAAAATTAGCTAGGCATGGTGGCACACACCTGTGGACCCAACTATTGGGAAGGCTGAGGCAGCAGAATTGCTTGAGCCCAGGAGTCAGAGGTTGCAGTGACTTGAGATTGTGCCACTGCATTCTAGCTCCAGCCTGAGTGATAGAGCAAGACTCTGTCTCAAAAAATAATAATAATAGTAAAAAGAAAACTAATCATAGCTTTTTAACATTTATTCTCAACTAAGGAGCAATTTTGTATACTTGGGACACTTGGTGATGTCTTGAGACAATTTTGATTGTCACAACTCGGGGAGTTCTACTGGCAGCTAGTGGATTGAAGCTAGGGATGCTGCTAAACATCCTACAAAGCATGAGACAGCCCCAGAGAAGCAATTATTGGCCCAAAGTATCAGTAGTCATCCACACAAAAACTTGTACATGAATGTTCAGAGCAGTACTATATGAATAGGCTATTCATACTATATCAATAGAAACAATCCAAATGTCCATCAGCTGATGGATAGGTAAATAAAATGTGATATACCCATATAATGGGAATATTACTTGTCATAAAAAAGGCATGAATTACTGATACATGCTACAACATGTGTAAACTTTGAAAACATTACACTGAGTGAAAAAAGCCATTCACAAAAGACCACAAATTATATGATTACATTTGCATGAAATGTCCAGGATGGGCAAATCTATAGAGACAGAAAGGTTATTGGTTATCTAGAACTGGAGTGGTTGGGAGAACGTAGGAGGTGACTGCCAAAGCATATGGGGTCTTTTTGGTACAATGGAAATACAATGGAAATGTTCTAAGATTAGATTATGGTTGTGGTTGCACAAATCTGTGAATATGCTAAAACCATTGAGCTGTACGCTCGGGTAAATTGCATAGTGTGTGAATTATGTCTTAATGAAGACTTTAAAAATATCCATCATGCCACAGTTTAGAAACCCACTTTACACAGGTCAACTGCACCATCAGTAGAGTTATAGAGGGAGATTAGGGGTGGAAATAAAGTTGTGGGAACATGCTATGATGGGGCCATTGAAGTTAAGGAAATGGGAGAGATGGTCCAAGGAGAAGCAGAGGATCCATGTCAGGACCTTTAGATGCATCAGTAGTTAAAAAGGAGGAAGAACAAAAGAGAACAAGAAAGCCAGTTAAGGCAAGTGGGTGGGAGAGCAAGGCAAGGAGTGTTTGGGAAGCAAAGATAGATGATGTTTCAAGGAATTAGGTAGTCGACATGGTCTGTTACTGGTAGGTAAGATGTAGATTGTTTTTGATCTGCACCAAATATCAGTTAGAACATAGTTAATCATATGGAAATCTGTTTATGTGAGTGACAGGGGCAAAAGCCATATCTCAGTGATTAGGTAATAATTAGTAATTGATGAAGTATGGAGTGATATACAGTTGACCCTTGAACAATGTGGGGGTTAGAGACACCAACCCCCATGTAGTCAAAAATTCCGGTATAACTTTTGTCTCCCCAAAACTTTTTACTAATAGCTTATGGTTGCTTGGAAGACTTACTGATAACATAAACAGTTAGTTAACACATATTTTGTATTTTATATGTATTATAATATATTCTTAAAGTAAGCTAGAGAAAAGAAAATGTTAAGACAATCATAAGGAAGATAAATGATATGTACTATTCATTCATTAAGTGTAAGTGGATCAATCATAAAGGTCTTTATCTTCAACCTCTGGTTGGGTATGCTTAAGAGGAGGAGGAACAGGAGGGGTTGGTCTTGCTGTCTCGGTGGTAGCAGAGACAGAAGAGGTGGAGGAGGCGAAGGGGAGGTAAGGAAAGGAAGGCACACTTGGGGTAACTTTTATTGAAAGTATAAGTGGACCTGTGCAGTTCAAACCTGTGTTATTCAAGGGTCAACTGAACTGTATAGATATTTCAAAGAGCATCAACTGATAGCTCAAGGAAATGGGGGTTTGTGCCAAGGAAATGCTATGTTTTATACTTTAAGCTTAGATGAACCTGTTTATTGCTTGAGGAGAGAAGTCAGGATTTCAGAAAGAAAATGTGATATTGTTGTGTTAGGCCAATGACATAGATGTTGAGATGGCCCAGGGCGTGGTTGAGGTAGGCAGCCCTGTGGTAGTGTGGGGTGCCTGCCTTGATGATCCACATTTCTTAGCTATTAAGTGCTGATTTGACCAGCTTTGTCTAGGTTTCTTCCAAAATAAAAGAACACAATGGTAGAAATCAGCATGAAGAATTTTGTTGTATTATTATTTTTTAAACTGATAGAATTGCAAGGAGAATAATGGAATGTTAAAGCACATATGTATAAAGCACGTGTAAAAAGTATTTTCTTCTGTCCTCTCTTTCTTTTGTGAGACGGAATCTCGCTCTGTTGCCCAGGCTGGAGTGCAGTGGCATGATCTTGGCTCAATGCAACCTCCGCCTCCCGGGTTCAAGCAATTCTTCTGCCTCAGCCTCCTGAGTAGCTGGGACTACAGGTGCGTGCACCATGCCCAGCTAATTTTTGTATTTTTAGTAGAGACAGGGTTTCACCATATTGGCCAGGCTGGTCTTGAACTACTGACCTTGTGATCTGCCCACCTCGGCCTCCCAAAATGCTGAGATTACAGGCCTGAGCCACCGTGTCCGGCCTGTTCTCTCTTTTTGAGTAGTATTTCCTCCAACTATTGTCTGTTTGTACCAGGCACTGTACCCTTTAAAAAGAAAGCGGCAGCACGTGGTGGCTAACATCTGAATCTCAGCACTTTGGGAGGCCAGGGCAGGAGGATGGCTTGAGCTTGGGAGTTCAAAGTTACCTTGAACTATGATTGCACCACTGCAGTCCAGCCTGGGCAACACAGGAAGACCTTGTCTCTTAAAACAAAAAGAAACAAAAAACAAAGTTAGTTTTCTGATTTAAAATAATATTAATTTATTGAAATAGGGTCTTGCTCTGTCACCCAGGCTAAGGTGCAGTGGCATGATCGTGACTCACTGCAGTCTTGACCTGTGAGTTCAAATGATCCACCTGCTTCAGCCTCCCAAGTAGCTAGAACCACAGGTGCATGTCACCACACCTGGCTTTTTTTTTTTTTTTTTGAGACGGAGTTTTGCTATTGTTGCCCAAGCTGGAGTGCAGTGGTACAATTTCGGCTCACTGCAACCTTCACCTTCTGGGTTCAAGTGATTCTCCTGCCTCAGCCTTCCTGAGTAGCTGGGATTACAGGCATGGGCCACTACGCCCAGCTAATTTTGTTTTTTTCAGTAAAGACGGGGTTTCTCCATGTTTGCCAGGCTGGTCTCGAACTCCCTACCTCAGGTGATCTGCCTGCCTCTGCCTCTCTAAGTGCTGGGATTACAGGTGTGAGCCACCGTGCCCAGCCCACACCTGGGTAATTTTTAGATTTCTTTTATAGAGGCTAGGTCCCATTATGTTGCCAGGCTGTTCTTGAACTCTCCTGCGCTCAAGTGATTCTCCTGCTTTGACATGCGAAAGTGCTGGAATTGCAGGCATGAGCTACTGTGCTTGGCCTGGATTTATTTATTAAAGTCTTTTTTATTTCTTTCAACACTGTTTTATAGTTTTAATAGTAAAAGGTTATTAAATTTATTCTAAGTAGATTTTTTTTGAGACTTGGTCTCACCTGTCACCCAGGTTGGAGTGCAGGAGTGTAATCACGGCTCACGGCAGCCTCAACCTCCCGGGCTCAAGCGATCCTCTGAACTTCACCCTCCTGAGTAGCTGGGACTATAGGCATGCATCATGATGCCTGGCTGAGTTTTGTACAGATAGGGTTTTGCTGTGTTGCCCAGGCTGGTCAGTACTTTTTTATTAATTCAATTCTAAGCTGTTTTTAAAATTTCATTTTTACAGTGTATAAGGAAAAAATACAAATGATTTTTGTATGTTGATCTTGTATCCTCTAAGCTTGCTGAACTTGCTTATTAATTTAGCCAATGAATTTGTTTGGGTTTTCTATATACATGATTATGTCATCTGTAAGCCATTATATTTTTTAAGGATTATTATATGTAGGTTTTCTATGTGCAGCAGGTGATTTATAAAAGTATGCACCTACCCAGACTGAGTGGTGCAAAGTTCACAGCTCTTGGGATTTGGTAGATGTTAAAAATTGCTCTGTGGCCCCAGAGAATGAATTCCTCTGGACTTTGTAGCCCCGTGTTACTCTGAGACTCTTGAGACAAAATTCACTTGCTTCTCATTCTATTTTAGATCACTGTTGTGCAAAGAAAGTGTCCTAGCCCTGTGATCCTCCATCATACCATCATCTGTATTTGAAAGTGGGTGCTAGGGTCCTGGGTGGTCTCATCACGGCCTCCCTCTCACAGCTCTTATCTGTGCTTTTCTGGTAGAGCTGCACTCACAGGCCAGCTTTCCTTCTGCCTTGTTCCTTACATATCCTGCGTCTCTGCCTGGGTCCCCTGTCTTTACTGATCACCTCCTAATTATACTTCAGCCTAGACCAGGTTGGCTTTCTTCTGTTATGTTCTCCCTATGTGTGTTGTATATGATTTTTTTTCCCATTCGGCTCACTTCTCAGCTGTATTTTTTCATTCCTTAGATTATTTAAGTACAGTTAGCCCCCCTAATTTGTGGGTTCCACATCCTTGGATTCAACTGAGAATCAAAAATATTCTAAATAAAAGTACACCAAAACAAAACAAAACAAAATCCAAATTTTAAAAACAGTACAACAATGTATATAGCACTTACCTGGTATTAGGTATTATAATTAACCTAGAGGTGATTTAAAGTATATGGGTTGTTTATAAGTTACATGCAAATATGATGCCATTCTATATCAGAGACTCTGGATTTATGTCAGAGCATCTGTGGATTTTGGTTACCACGGGTTGCAATAGTAGTGTCTGTTTACCTACTGCACGAAGCTCCATGAAAGCGTGGGTCATGCTTTTGCTCACTCCATTGTTAGCCCCTAGCACAGATGTTCAGCAAATATTTACTGTTATATATATATTATTTAATTTTTGAACGAAGCCAGTTCAGAAGTATTAGCTCAGTTCTTGGTTGTTTGTTTACTACAAATATAGTTCAGCTAGTAGTTCACCTGGTATCCATAAATGCTTAAGGGTTTTGGCAATGCTCATCATAAATGACAATATCATTTTGTAACAAGAATGTTTGGCAGGTATGTGTGGTATGTTGGCTTCAGTAATATTTCTTTTTTTAGTTTGGTTACACTGCCTTTTATTGGTATTCTATTTTTGTGGATCTGATTTGGTTTTGGTAAACTTTTTTTTTTTTTTTAACTTAATCTCTTGGGGAAAGCTAACTGGATTATAGAGTAGTGATGGGATACAGAAGCTTTCACCTAAATTGGATTTCCAGTAAAGCCAACCTTACCATTTGGAGGCAAGGCTTGGGAAAACATTCAGGTAAGGTCACTCCTTTATTTCACAGGATTTGTGGTTGCTTGGACTGTGTTGTCTATAAGATTGGGGTCACTGGTTTTGTGCTGTGCCAGAAGGAGAAGTAGCAGTTTTTGTTGTTAGAAAATTTAATAGTGAAAGGGATTAAATATTTAAGAAAGAGAATGGGTTTGCTTTCGCTCTTGAAACTTTGTTTTGCTGATGAAATAGGGTAAAAATTAGTATGGAAAGATGAAGAGTAAAGCATTTATTGCTTATGTGAAGTGTCCATTGTTGCTACAAGATCTTTCTATATTGTAAAGTAATTATAAGAATAGGCAAAGGAAATGTTCAGATTGTCCATATTTGCTTGAGGATAATGTGTAGCTATTGTATGCCTCATTTAGTTATTATTATTATTTTTAGTGTCGTTCACAATCACAAAATGATACCCTTACTGAAAGTGTTAGTGGATAAACTTAATTGCATATTTAAGGACCTGTGCATTTCCATAGATGATGCTTTCCCTCCTTAATGTTAAGATGTACGTATTTAATGATAATGCCGTTTGTTGTATGAGAACTTGAGACAGAAGATTTAGTAGGATTATCCAGTGACAGTCAGTACAGGGTGCGATTAAGCTGTCCTTCTGGCTCTTGGCCTAGTGTATGTTTGTCTCTGGCTATGCAGTTATAGAATAGGGCAGGTGGTACATTTATATATGCCTTTGATTTCTCAGAAGTTGGTGAGCTTTCCTAAGTGGAGAATTTTAGAGCTAGATAGGATTGTTGTGGGAGAGGGGGCAGGGAATGCAGAGTTGATTCTTCATTCTTCTGTGGTACAGTTGAATTTACATGTAGTTAGAACTGATTTTCCAGGGGATTATGATGGCATTGAGCTTAGAAGACTAGCTGGCTTTTAACATTTCAGAATTGGATCCCCTGCCGGAACCCTTGCTAAGAGGGAGTGGACTTGTATTTGGTACAGTGACAAAAAAAAAAAAAAAAAAATTGTCCTGATTGTTTAATTTGGTGAAAAGATGGGAAGGTAAAGTAAGATTAGATGTGGATGACAGACTTTTTTTTTTTTAAAGAAAGAGGGTTAGCAAAAGACTGAAAGCATCTCTGTTTGGCTTTCTTATTGATGGAATTGTGTTTTGTTTGGTTACAAATTATTCTGATAAAAATATAAATTGCATGCATTCAGTATTTATTTTAGAGAAATATATAAAGCCATAGCCCAAGCAAATTCTTGAATTACATTCTTATTTGAACTTTGGTGAAATAATAGTTATTTAACTAGTTCCAATCTTTTGTGACTTGTGTGTCTCATAAAATTTTACTAGCATGTAATAAAAGACAGTTTAGTAAATGATCAGTTCATTGTCAAACTGTTCTTTTGTTGGTGGCATGTTTGTTGCAAAAGATAAAGCAACGTAATGTCCAGATACTGTAACGTGCTAAAGTGGTGACTATGAACCAAATCTTTTGTAAGTTTTAAAAGGAAACTCTTGTTTTGTTAAAATTATTTTTAAATGAAAGTATTGCTTTATTTAGCCATGAAATGATTTTTAAAATATTGTTTGAAGGATAGTAGTGCTAGCTTTCCAAATTTTGGTGGTAGTGGTTCTGTTTGTTTTTAAATTAAGAATTTAAAAATTTTCTGGGGTAGAAATGGCATTTTTTGATTTCTTAAGGAATTATTAAGAATTATCTGGAGTTGAAATTTTTATTTTTTATTTTTTCTACATACAGATAGAAATTGTCATTTGAGAATACCTGATTAAAAATGAATTACCTTAATTCTTTATATTATTTTGAATGTAAAGATATGGTCCAGATTTGTATAACGTTATTCTGATCACATTGTGATATGCTTTTCACAAGTTTCTTTTTAAATGGAAAAGTCATGCATGTACATGAATAACAATATTTTAGGTAATAGTAAACATTAAATAATGCATAGTAAGCTCCACTTCCACACAAGAGCCAGCATAGTCTCTTATTCAGGGGCAGCAACTTCAGCAGTTTTGTGGTGCAATCTGATAACTAAAACATATTTCTTGTCAGAATAGCATTGTCTTTAAACATTTGTTCTGTATAAACGTTTATAATGCTGTTCCATTTAAACATTTATTATTCTGTTTTTGTTGTCTTTGTGTTTAACTTTTTATTTAAATGCTTTTGGGAATAATTAAATTTTTTTTTTAGTAGAGTGGGTTATGATTTGTAGTTATAAGATTATAATTGTCTTATAAAAACTATAATATAGTGCATGCGCATTTTTATTATGGTATGTAGTAGTGGTATTATTAGTGATACTGCCAGGCTGGCTGATAGAAGGTAGTGAAGTCTGCAGTGTGTAGATTAGTTTTTCAGTGGAAGATAAGTGTAGCCTCTTTGCATGGAACATTGTAAGTGTGCATTCTTGCTAGAAGGCAAATATCATGTCAGAGATAAAAATCCTTTCCAGGTTTGGAGGTGGAAAACAAAAGTCACACGGAGCTTTGTAATAATCATGGGAAAGGTGTTTTCTGATAGGTATTACATACTAAGTCATAAATCTCCCATGCTCTTGGCCACATATAAGGAATTTTAATCTTAAAAATACTTTGGTTACCAACTTTTGAAGAAAATTGGCCATAGGGCACCAGGGACAGTGTACTGAAAAACAGACCATGATCAGGAGAGGCTAAACCAAGATTAAAAAAAAGAGATTTCAGGGTTATTTCGAATCTGATGTTTAACATGAGCCATTGCAATGAATTTCATTTTATATCTGGAAAAAGCCCTTTTTAAAACTCATATCCGGCCGGGCGCAGTGGCTCATGCCTGTAATGTCAGCACTTTGGGAGGCTAAGGCAAGCAGATTGCGAGGTCAGGATTTCCAGACCAGCCTAACCAACATGGTGAAACCCTGTCTCTACCAAAAATACAAAAATTAGCCGGGTGTGGTGGCGGGCGCCTGTAATCCCAGATACTTGGGAGGCTGAGGCAGGAGAATGGCTTGAATCGGGAGGTGGAGGTTGTGGTGAGCCGAGATCACCAGAGCGAAACTCCGTCTCAAAAAAAAAAAAAAAAACAAAAAAACAAAAAAAACTCATCCATTTTCCCTTAATGTAAATAATTGATATCCAGAGTATTAATAGAGTATATGCTTTTTATAATTTATAAAAAGGTAGAGGAGAGAATTATACACAAGAATTTTGGTTTAGGTTTAATAGTTTCCTTTTGTAAGATTTCTTTCTGTATTTTCTTACTGATATTTTTGTAAGATTTATTGAATCTTTAGGTTATCATCTCCCTCTTACCAAAAGACTCTTGCCCTGCTTGCTGCATTCTACCTGGAAGGCATAATTAGAATGTGGGAGACTCTCCTCATTTACTTGGAATAGACTTTTTCATATTTCCAGAAGTAGCAAAATTTATAAATATTACCCCCTTTGCTTCTGCCACTTGTATTCTTCCTCCCTACTTGAACTGCCTGCAGCTCTTGTAGGGAGGTTTGGATTTTCATTCTCTTGCAGTTATCGCACCTGAAGTATTTGCCTTCTTACTCTGAGGGATCACACATCTGCCAGCTACTAAAATGGTAAATTGTCAGTTTGAGACCAACCATTTTATTATGGTTATATGAACCCATTGATCTGTCTCATATCCTAACTAATTTAAAAATAAAATCATAACACCTTTTATAAGCATATGAAATTACAAAATCATTATTTTCCTAGTTGAAAATGTTGCATGCATATATTTTGTTTGTTAGATTTGGCATATTGAAAATAAAGAGAAATAAAACTAGAAAATAATAAGTGAAATACATTTAACTTTTTATGAAGTACAAAGAATTGGCCAGGCGTGGTGGCTTGTGTCTATAATCCTTGCACTTTGGGAGGCTGGACAAGGGGATCACATGAGCTCAGGAGTTCAAGACCTCCATGGGCAACATAGACCCTGCCTCATTAAAACACACACATACACACACACACACACACACACACACACACACACACAGAATTGATTGCCTTACTCAGATCCTTTATTTCACCTACTAAAACCTCTGCCATCCCGTTATTGTAGAAAATTTCAAAGATATACAGTAGTAGAGAGAATACCCAGCTTTAAACAGCCAGTCTTGTTTCATCTGTACCCTGCCATTCCCAGACTATTCTGTAGCAAATCTTAGGTGTCAGATAAATCAGTATATTGTAGTATTGGGTGAAGAACACAGCATTGGCCTTAGACCACCATCAGTGCCTCATGAGAAAATGAGCTCACTCTATATTGATAAATCTTAGTGTTCATTTTTCCCCTCTTTTTAAAATCTGGCTCCTTTCTTTTGGCTTTTTTGACCTTCCCCTCTTTCCCTGTACCTCCACAAGGGGGCAGATAAAGGAAGTGAGAAGTTTAAATGAACCAGATTTGAGTTTCACTTTTGTTAATCAGTCAAATAGAGTTGCAGAAGATTTGGGGGATGACTTTTCAGAAACAAGCAGTGACTTTTCTTCTTGAAACAACTCATAGTGCCCCTCCTTGCTCTTCAGAGATAGAATAGTATTAGCTATTTTAAAGGGGTTAAACAATAATCTTTAAAAACAAAACAAAAGATCCAGAGCATTATTACAGCCTTTAATTTTCTCTGTGAACGATAATTTTTCTGTAAAAATAATGATGTAGACGTTAATCAAAATGTAGTATTTGAATTTCTATCTACTTTTTTCAGAGAATAGCTCTGGGTGATTATCATTAAGATTTCTTATTGAGTGATGTGAATATTGTATAGAAAGTATTTTAGCTGGGCATTTGGCTAGCAGTAGAAGGGTCATAACTACTGTCTTTATCCCCAGGCAGTTTTATCATTTCTTTTGTTTTTAGATTTTTTTTTTTTTTTTTTTGAGATGGAATTTCTGTCACCCAGGTTGGAGCACACAGTCACCCAAGCTGGCGTGCAGTCACCCAGGCTGGAGTGCAGTGCCGCGATCTCGGCTCACTGCAGCCTCAGCCTCCGGAATATCTGGGACTACAGGCACGTACCACCACGCCTATTTTTAGTAGAGACGGGGTTTCAGTGTGTTGGCCAGCCTGGTCTCTAACCCCTGACCTCAGATGATCCACCCATCTGGGCTTCCCAGAGTGCTGAGATTACAGGGTGTGAGCCACCACGCCCAGTCAAGTTTTCTCATTTCTTAAAAGCCTTAGTTGGCCAGGTATGGTGGCTCATGCCTGTAATCCCAGCACTTTGGGAGGCTGAAGCGGGTGGATCACCCGAGGTTGGGAATTCGAGACCAGCCTGACCAACGTGGAGAAACCCCATCTCTACTAAATACAAAATTAGCTGGGCCTGGTGGTGCACGCTTGTAATCCCAGCTGCTTGGGAGGCTGAGGCAGGAGAATCACTTGAACCCAGGAGGTGGAAGTTTCAGTGAACCAAGGTTGTACCATTGCACTCCAGCCTGGGCAACAAGAGCGAAACTCTATCTCAAAAAAGAAAAAAAGCCTCAGTTACTGTGGCAGTATCAATGAATCATGTGAATCGGATTCATAAAATTCTATAAATATATGATGGTTACTTTATTTATGGTAAGACAGTATACTGTTTGAAGCATGTTTGAAATTGAATGCCAGAACAGCATATAAATTGCAGTTTCATCTGTGGGAATTTTAAATAAGCATCTATAAAGTTTTTAGTCAACAGATTATTTCTTTGTCTTGATATTTAGATACTGTGACCCGTGGGAGTTTTTTTTTTTCTTTAATATTATATGTGTTTAATATTTTTGTTCTTTTTTTTTTTCCCGGTGAATATATTTCTTTTGGAAAAATGTTATTTTCCCAAGTAGACCATATGAGATTCACATTTTGAATATGTGGTGTTAATTGTTGTAAGATATTGGAGGAAATGATGGATTGATTGTTTTTGCATGAATTTTGGCAGCTGCTTTGCAATAAGTATATTTCCTTTTGTTGCCACCATTAAATTCTCTGGTTCTCAAAGTTTCTGTATGCCTTACCACATGACACGTAATTACAATGAAAGCGTTACCTTACATTCCTCTAGCATTCTTCCCCGCCAGTGCCACACTTAATGCCTTTTATTCCTCAGCTTCATGCATGAATTATGTAGCATATGTGAAGAGGCTTAAACTGTTACCATTACAAATTCTTGCTAGATGGCTCCTGTTATATTTAGGATATACTTATACTTTAGACAAAGTAAGAATGTTATTGTTGTTGACCTTGACACCGAATAACTGGGCAGACATTATATAGCTATGTTTGAATCCTCGCAAAATGTGCTGTTGAAGCCAACAGAGTCCTGGCGGGAGACTCTTCTGGACAGCAGAGTTATGGAACTTTTCTTCACAGTAAGTCTTAGTCGTCGTCTCTGGTAGCAAGGGCCATAGAAAAGAGGAAATGCGTTGGCATGTTTCTTAAGTAAAACAACAGATTGCTTTTCTCCCCTAAAGTCTTGTCTTTTCATCAATACAGCTGCTTAAACAGAAATTACTTTAAAAAGTTCTTGCTAATTTATAAAAATGTCACATAGTTTGGAAGGGCTTAATATCCTAGAGCAGAAGTTCTCAAACTTTTAATCTCAGGGCCCCTCTATACTCTTAAAAATTATTGAGAACTCCAAAGAGCTTTTCTTTATGTAGGTTATATTTATCTGTTAAAAATTCAAACAAAGCTTTACAAAATAATGTGCTGAAAAGTAACAATAAGAAACTATGAGCATATTAACAGAAGTAACATTTTAATTAACAGTATTTTAAAAAACAAAGCAGGTTTGTTTTGCATTTTTGCAAATCTGTAATGTCAGACTTAATAGAAGACTTATTAAGTCTTATCTGCTTCTGCCTTCAGTTAGTTGCAGTATGCACATTGTGTGGTCTTGGGGAAATTCCACTTTTTACCTGTGTGACAGTGAGAATGGGAAATGCAGGTACTGTCTTCATATTATTGTGCAAATGGTTTTTTCCTCATGGGCAATCTGACAGGCTTTTAAAAAACTTCAGGGATCCCTGGGCCACAGTTTGAGAACTGCTATTCTAGAGTGTTGGTTTTATGTTATATTCATGAGTCATTATTTAAGTTGGTATTAATGAATAGCATTTTATCTCATATGTAGCTTTAGACAGTCCTCTTTATTATTGGTTAAATATCAAGATGTAAGCAGTATGCTCCCACATTCGCCAATGTGTATTCCCAATGAAACAATGAAAAGCTGGAAAAACAATTCATGTGTGTGTATATGTGTTGGATGCTAATTTGCAGTTATAGGGTGAATATACGAGTTAGTTAGATATATTGACATGGACAAAAGCCCACGTAAAAGCCAATTAAAAAGAAAAAAGAAAGATAGTTTGTTTAGTCCCAGTTGTTAATTATAGTTTCTTTTCATTTGTTTTAAAAATATAGATGAGTCCTACAATTGCCTTTTTCTGATTGAACCATTTACAATAAAGTAGTTATGTGGCATATGTTTTAAAATAGCTAAAAGGTTATCTATCCAGGGGTATGTAGAAAATATATTTTCTATGGAAACATTTGGACTGAGCATTAATCGCCTTGTGGTTTCTTTTTAAAATCAGAGAAATGATGGCCAAAACTACTATCAAGATCAAAGAGATAATTGTAACTAAATTTTAAAATTCCATTGCCTGCCTCATGTGACAGGAATTGTTTTGATACGAATCCAAGTCCAAGTCTTCGTATTATGCACTTGACTGAAAGTAGATTCCACTCCAGCAGTTTTTGAAAAGGTGAAAAACTTGCTGGCAGTACTGGAAACAGCTCTACCAAGTCTGAACAGCTGTCTAGACAAACCAGACAGCTGCTCCTGTCAGCTGTGAACAACCACATGCAAAGAACTTTTGAATCTGAAAGTTAACCCTTTTTTGCTTTATTTGAACAATTTTTGTGTTTGTAGCTATTTTCACTTAAGCAGTTTATGAACAAGTTTGTTACTTGTTTTAAAAATGACAGTGACTAATGTTTTTATTTAATTTTGGTTAAATCTAGTTTTAGTTACCTGAATTCATTGCCTAATTTAAAGCACTTTTCCACTGGATATCACTTGTGCTAGATTTGGATAAGCATCAATATACTGTTGCATAAGAGCAAGACTTTAAATATGTTGATCATAAGACTTTAAATATGTGGAATGCTTTGGGTTGCATTCTGCCCTGCAGAGGTTAACAAACTTCTTGATTTTTTTTTCCTTCCCTAAGGTCTTGGGGAAAAAAAAAAACACTTTCATTGTGTTTTCTTCCTACCTTTTTGATCAGAGTCTTCTTGATCTTGCTTATAGGTCTCTTCCTTCTTTGCTCATCACATAAATGCTGGCATTCTTATCTTAATTCTCCACTTTGCTGACTCTGTATACTTTCCTGTGGCTCTTTCTTCCACGCGTAGGACTTCAGGCACCAGTTCCTGGATGACTCCTACATCTATATTCAGCACAGCCAGCTCCAGAGTTGCTGAGCCTTATAATCCAAGTGCTTACTGGATGTTTTACTTTGGATGGCCCACAGACATCTCAGATTTAATATGTTCCCGTAGAATTCGTCATCTTCCTTACTTGCTTCTCCTTCCTTGTGTTCCTCTTCTTGATGCATAGCCTTGCCATTCACCTCACTGGGCGTCCTGCTGGGCTTTGCTTTCCCATATCCCTCTGTCTCTTTCCCGTATTCAGGTGGTGATTTCAGCTTTCAGTTTTATAATACAGTTATAGAGGAACTCTTTTGTAACGATGACATTGGAAAAAAGGCAAGAATCTATATCGTATAAAAATTAAGCGTTTATCATTAGTTTTATGTGGTTTATATTTCAGGGAACATAAATTAAGCTTGAACAGTACACACAGTCTCCATAGACAGTTATTTATTTATTTTAAATTTTATTTTTAGCTATTTCATTGACGGTATTCTTTCTTTTGATTGCTCACTTCAAGACCATAATGAACATTCAAGATTGTGAGATGGATTCTTATTGTCCCAGATTACATTGCATCTGTTGACAGAATATATCTCTGGACATCGTGCTTAAATGCTGATTAGATTCTAAGGCATCCACACAAAAAATTAGTTACAGGTTTTAGATAAAGAACTTATGAGAACGAGCCGTGTTCAGAAGTTTATGCACTAGACAGTGTGCAAATATGAATTTGTCTATTCTTAGAACTTACTATGTAAAACTTAAAATACATTAGAATATAGTTTCAAAAATATTTGTATTCTAGACCAAGGATTTGCAGACATTTTTTTTGTATAGGGCCAGATAGTAAACACTTTAGGCTTTGCAGGTCATCTGTTTGTATTCAACACTGCCATTCTAGTACAGAAGCAGCCATAGATGATACATAAATAAGCATAGCAGTGTTCTAGGAAAGCTTATTGATGGTCATTAAAATGTGACTTTTGTATAATTTTCATAGGTCACAAAATATTATTATTTTTGTTGGTTTTCCCTCAACCATACAAAAATGGGGGAAAAAAAATTCTTAGCTCACAGCCATATAAAAACAGTCAGGGGTTAAATTTGGCTTATGGGCTGTGGTTTGTTCTAGTCCAAAAAGAGTATAGCATATTTTAAGCATGTCAGTGAATCAATTAACTTTGTAAGTTTTAGAGATTATTTAGTATTTTAAATTTCATTACTAGAACGTTAAGAAGTTCAGGGATACGCCGGGCACAGTGGCTCATGCCTGTAATCCCAGCACTTTGGGAGGCTAAGGCGGGTGGATCACCTGAGGTCGGGAGTTCAAGACCAGCCTGACCAATATGGAGAAACCCCGTCTCTAAAGAAAAAAAAAAGAAATTCAGGGATTAAGGATTAATGGACTCAGTCAGTGAACAAGGATTTATTGAGTGTTCATTGTGCCCAGTATACTAGTAAATACTTAAATAGTTCTGACCTCAAGTAATTTAGAAACAATTTGCCGAGTCAAAGTGAACATAACGTAAAGCTACGAGTTCAATGTTATACAACATTTACAAAGTAGAGAGGGAACTTTGTGTAGGAAAGAAAAGGGCTAGAGTAGTTAAGTGCTTTGGCAAATACAAAATGGTACATACAACAGTAAGGATTAGGATTAATAATGATCATATTTCTACACTAAATTTTCCTTGGCTCTATTATGTCAGATTACAGAAGTGAAACCTTTAACATCTGAGAATATTAATACTATAAAACGAGGGAGCAGTATTTTGAGAGCATTTCCTTCACACAGAACACTATACCAGGTGTTTCACGTTCGTATTGTATCACCAAAATAAAATCTAGGTGAGATTTAAATGGATTTAAGTATAATATATATTTTATATTTAAAACTTTTAGCATTTATTAATAAGAATGATGTAGGTTAAACTAAGATTCAAACAAATTGTAGGCGATCTGAGCATTAATAAAAGAGTGCTTGTTATATTTTGGTTGAATGAATGCGTGAATGTCTATGGATTCAATGGCACATTGCTTTTCTAAGTGTGCAACTGTTTACTTCCACTAAAGCAGCATCTATATACTCTTGATTGAACTTGTCTGCTAACTTTAGCAAGAAGCTGTAGCTAGGCATAGTTAGCATAATACAGATGACTGTCGTTGTTGCTGTTTTTAGAAGAAGCAGTATGTCTGACTGGCTGGCATCTGTTTCTCTCTTTGTCATAACATGCTGGAGATGGATCAATTTTCAAAATGTAGGTAGCCCTCAGTTAAAAATTAATTGATATGTTTAAAATAATGCCTGTAATGTAAAGTGGACTGAGGGACAATTTTCAGTTTAGTTTAATTCAGGAAGTAGTTTTCTAGAAATAACCAGCTACAGTGAATTTTTCTCTTACCTCATTCGGCATGGTAAACACGTGACCCTTACAAAGGAAGAATTTATATTTATGGATTAGTAATTCTTTCTAACAGGTACATCGAAAAATCAGAGAAGATTCAGATATGGCACAAGATTCTCTGCAGTGCCTTGCCCAGTTAGCTTCTCTTCATGGACCCATCTTCCCTGATGAAGGATCACAAGTTGATTATCTAGCACACTTCATTGAGGGATTACTGAATACTATCAATGGGTAGGTATACTTGCCCTTTGCAGCTGAAAAAGGAACTCTACGTTTTGTGTTTAACAGTAGAAGAAAAAAAGAAATTAGTTATTTTTCCCCCTTATATTTTGGAGTAAAGTCATATGGGTAATTTGAAATTAATAAACAGAGACATGCCTTTTAAAGTCAGTAACGGTATTGCTTGTTTGGAAATGAGTTATTAATAATTTTTCTTTTACTACCACTTAATAATACTCATTCCTTGGTTTTAGAATTGAAATAGAAGATTCTGAAGCTGTGGGAATCTCCAGCATTATCAGCAACCTGATAACCGTGTTCCCACGAAATGTTTTAACTGCCATTCCAAGTGAACTTTTCTCCTCCTTCGTTAACTGCCTCACACACCTCACTTGTTCTTTTGGGCGAAGTGCTGCATTGGAAGAAGTGGTGAGTGACTATTCTAAAATAAATTGTGTCAGTTTTAAGTGTGTAAATTATTTGGGAAACATGACCTTTAAAAATTTGTGGGTTAAGATAGCTTTAGTTGGTGATATTTATTGGTGTTAAGAATTTAATTTTGAGATGATTTAGTACCCAAATATAGGAGATGGAATGAAATGAGCTGTGGTTTGTTCAACACAAATTTTCACAATTTTTAACATAAAACTTATGAAACTCATTCTAACAGCAAAAACATTGTTTACAGGGTGCTGCTGTGGTGTGGTGTAATTATGTGTAATTTTATGTTTCTTTTTTTGAGAATTTTTTACTTTGGACTTATTTGACAATATGTAAACAAAATTTGGTTCAAATCATTGTAACCTTGCTTATTTTGATCAGATTGTGGTCTCTAATTTTTTGGATGGTAATGCTTTAATAGTGTATCCTGGTAGAATTTAATTTACATTTAAATTAAGAACAATAACAATACTGAAGATTTTTTTTTTTTTTTTTTTTTTTTTACAAATTTTCAAATGTGTATTTTCCGTATTTTATATTTAAATTTAGAAAACATCTACTAAAACCCCTTGACAACACAGCTGCTTCTGTAATAGTTACTGTGAAAAGCTATATTAATCATGGAAAATAATTGATTTCATTCCACAAAGTAGTGATTAAATTGTTGCAACTGCTTTTTCTTTATATGAATCAAAATATGAATCTTTCTGAAAGGCTGTAAAAGAAATATAGATATTTTGTTAGCATTTCTTGTTAAATTGTTAGTTGTTTTGGTTAGATTCTGCCAACAGTGTATAAGTTTTTCATATCCCTTCAGAGGTTTTCAGAGAATAGAGAACTCGAGAATGATTATGTTTATGTAATCGGGCACTTTTGTGATTTGATGAGGAAAGGAACCAGGTCAGAGAGGTGTTTATATGGTAGAGAAAATGTAGTAAGAGAAGAATAGAAGTCTAAAGGCAAAATGTAGATTTGAAAAAATCCATGGTAATTTTAAGTATTTATGCTTTACTCAAACCCCTTCCAAATGATGACAGATTCTGAACTAGTCAGGTTGTATTTAACACAAGTTCCTTGCACTTTCCCTCTCCCCTTTGGTTTGTGATAGTTTCTCTTCGAAACCAGGTGGATTGAAGAGCATGTTGATCCTATATTTAGAAACTAAGCTACCTTTTAAAGTTTCTGTTTGTGAGTTAAGAGTGTTCCTAAACATTTTAAAGAATTGCTGGAAGATTTATGGCATCTTTGGTTTGCAAATTTTAAGGACAGAATTTATTTTGAGGACACTGACATCTTGACAAATTTTCCGTCAAGATTTGACAAAGGAATGTTGGAATATAGAAAGCCTACATGTATTTGCAGAGAGGTAGATGTGTATTGTGCTCATTTCACAGCAGACATGCTCTAGTGATGATGAGCCTGATAGGTTTCATTCAAGAAAAGTATTTATTTTCATTTCTTTTACTCTTTGAATTAGTTTTTAATTGAGCTGTTTATGATATTTAAAAGTTATTTTTAAAAATACTTGGTCATGTGTTGAAAAGGACAGAGGGAAAATACCTGTTTAAAGTTTTGCATTAGTCATAGAAACCAGGTCGGGGATGTGTGGTGAAGTTGAGGGCTAAGGGGGTGACTCCTGCGTGGAGACTTGCTTGAAAACTAAATCTCCTAAATGTCATGTCAGCCTGAAGCAGTTTCCATTGTATCTTGTGTATGCTGGGGGTGGAGGACCAGGGGAGTGTACAACTAATACCAGAAATACGGGAACAAATCCAGCCAAACCAAATTGGACCTCTGGGACAGAGACATTCCATCTTTTGTTTTCTTGGACACCCAGTGATTGTAGTGATAGTATATAATACGTGGTTGTCCTGAGATGGAAAAGTATATAAAGACATGATCTTTTAAGTAAAATTTGAAAAATTGAGGCATAGTAAAGAAACAAGTTTGGGAGTTAGCATGGGATGAAAAGGTGATGAACTTTTGAGGGAGACAGCACCCTTATGGGCCAGGCAGCCGTGAAGCGTAAGAGCTCAGGCAAGCTGCCTCAGTTTTTTTGAGCATGTTTCCACATTGGTAAAATCAGGTTATGAATTCCTTCCACCGCTTTATGACATGGATTAACTGCGTGAAAAGTACCTGCATAGTGTGTAGTAATTTATTACAGGTGATAATATATTGAATAATAATTTTTAAAATGAACTTTTGTAAGAATAGCATTTATTGAAAATTTGTGTGCACTCTTACCATGAAAGAACAATTGTTGAGTTTTGTTTGCTGTGAACCAGTTAGAATTCTAATTTTTAAAAATTATTTTAAAAATAATTTATTATAAATTATAAAATATTTTTTGTAATTTTAATTTTGTGAAATATTTTTGTTTTTCTTAAATATTGAAAATTTCTTTTCCCACTTGAAAAACGTTCCACATGTAAGGCTTTTTACTGTGAGAATACTTTTTAGGAGCTGTGTTTGTTTAGGAATACATACAGATTATCATCTTTTTTAATAGCAATTCATGTCTTCGATAGTGATTATGTTGTTGCAGCAAGGAAAAACGAACATCTTCATAGGAAGAAACATTCTTGATACTAATGTGTGTTTTTGAAACCCATGTCATAAAGTCACCTTGCTTGGTGGCTTTAGCATGTGAGTGAAGAGACGCATATTTGTGAGTACCTGACTTGGAGTTAACTGAGTCTGTGTTCACAAAGAGCAATTCCAGTACAGCCAGTGCTTGACTTAACGACCACGATTGCGTCCGACAGACCGGTCGTAACACGATTTGGTTGTAAGTTGAGTAAGCTATATGCACGTGGAGATGGTAGTGCTGCCGGAAGCTGGCCCGCACTGTCGTACGCCCAGCTGGGCAACGTTTGCGCTGCCAGACGCGGAGCAGTCGTGGCTAGCGATTATGGTCGTAAAGTCGAATGGTCGTAAGTTGCATAGGTCGTAAGTCGATCAATACCTGTATTCAGCCAAGTTTCTCTGTGGCTGCAAAAGTTTCTTGGTATTACTTAAGGCTTCTTGGAGCCAAGAATGTTTTCATTACACCCCATTATCTGTTGCTGAACCAAAGAGGTGATAATGAATGTGGAGATGAAAAAATACTGCCTTGAAGATTAAAATCCTTCTGGGCATGGTAGCTCTCGTCTGTACCTTGGGAGGCCAAGGCAGGTGGATCACCTGAGGTCAGGAGTTTGAGATCAGCCTGGCCAACATGGTAAAACTCTGTCTCTACTAAACATGCAAAAATTAGCCAGGCGTGGTGGTGGTTGCCTGTAATCCCAGCTACTCAGGAGCCTGAGGCAGGAGAATTACCTGAACCTGGGAGGCAGAGGTTGCAGTGAGCTGAGATTGTGCCACTGCACTCCAGCCCAGATAACAAAGCAAGGCTCTGTACACACACACACCAATGCTAACAATAATTGTTCATTTTAATATATCAACTATTTTATAAAAGATTGGTAATAGTACGTGTATTTGAATTGATTCAGTGAAATGCAAGGAGAATATGGCTTGAACTCTATACTCTAGTTTGGTGCTTAGTTTCTTTTCTAATTAACCATTTTGAGTTCAGCCTAGTAAGCAAAACCATGCAGTATGTTGTTACATGAACACAGCAGCCTTCATAGCACTGAGGTATTTTGTATATGCATTTTGGTGTGTGTGTTGTGTATAGGGACGATGGTGGTAAATAACAATTTATAAAGAAAGAACTTTACATCTACTTTTAGTATATTTGTAGCCTAATCTCAAGGCCAGCAGGACAAGATAGTAATTAAAAAGGTGCTTGATAAAGTTGTTAGGAAGTCGATTATGGAGTGTAATGCAATAAAATAAATTTGCAATTTGTCGAGTGAGTGAGTATATTTAAAGGTCAGCATTCTTGATTCAGAATCTAATTTCTCTGACTTGTTGGGTGATTACTTTGTAGAGAGGTGATGTGACAAAAAGGAAGCCATACATTGAAGCCAAATTACAGATTGAGAAGTGGGGAACATAAATTTTGGGATATCTCAGTGATAAGAGGGAAAACAATTCTTATTCTCTGGGATGGCTGTGTCAGTACAGTGCAACTGTGTACTCTGCCTGGCATCTTCACCCATGAAAGGATGGTTGTTTCGACCTGCCAGCCTTCCCTCCAATTGATTCTTGTAGCTATAAAAGAATAAATTGATGATACTTGAGAGAGCAAGCTGGCTGTCCAGCACTCCCCACCCATCAAGCACATTCATTTCCTCTGCTTAAAAGATGGAAGAAGAAATAATACCTGTGAGTATTTTGTAAACCTTGCATATTAAAAGTATACTGTTCAGAAATAATAGCAATGGTTTTATGTCTACCAGGATATTTGGAAGAAAACTAGTTACTATTTTACCTTAAGTACAGATTCTTATTTAAAAAAGTGTTTTAAGAATTATTTTAATGTTTTAATTCTAATTGGTTGATAATATTACCATGCAATGTTTCATGACTTGTATGAGTCAGCTCTCATTGTTTAAATCTGCTTTCCTAGTACAGAACCAGTGTAAGTTTTATAGAATTTTTGCACCTGAGATAGAGGGCAGTGGATTTAGAATAAAGCTTCCTTACTGTCATAACTGTTGTTTCATATTGTATCCCTTATACTGTTTGTTATACTGGCATTAGAAACATAATTAGATCCAATGGACCTGGGGTTCAAAAATGAATACTAGAGTGAGGTAGAAAAGAAGGGATTTCGAAAGCATTTTCATAGTATGTGGAAAAAATTTTTTAAACAAACAAAAAAACAAAAGAAAGAAGGGATTGCCCTTTTATCCCATGTAAGCCGGGCGAGTCCCAGAAATGTCAGCCACTATTCAGCTCCGTAAGTCTGTATTGAGCACTTCTCATGTGCCAGGAACAATGTCTAACGTGTATGCATTCCTTTGCGTTGCGAATTTGGAAACCCCTGTGCGTTTTCAAAAGGAAGAAAGTATGATAATCCAGTAGTGCAGCATTTA